CGTACAGCAGTTAGAAATGTTTTTAAATTGATGTGTTATGTATTTATGTATATTTATGGTTTTAAAGTTCTGTGTGAGTCGCCCAGAGTACCCCATTGGGGGGAGATGGGCGGGAAAGAAATTTAATAAATAAATAAAATAAATAAATAAACATTCATTCTGATTAAAAACATGGTAGGACACTGCTCTTTTGATGGCTTCACAAATTGCCAAAAGGGAACGTGCTTCACAAATCTCTGGGTGCAAAGAATTTAGTATACAGAGGCCACAACAGCCTAATTCCATACCTCTGGGGCAGTGCTCCAACTGCTGCATAGATCTTTTGTTCTAGCAAAGCCACATTAGTACATATTTCTGATCCATTTGCTCAAAATATTTACAGCCTTTAGACCATAACTATATGATTTGACTGTCAGAATTTTAAACATTTGTTCATATAGCAAATTATATGTTTCTCTTTCTCCTCTCTAGGAATAAAATGATGAAGGAATTTCATTCTGAGAGCTCTCAGATGTACAAATAGCTGTTTCAAAACTCCAATAAGCACCAGAAAAGATTTAAAAATACATTCTACTATGGATTACAAGGTTGGAGGTAAAAGGAAGCAGCAGCATAGCTTGAATTTACTGGATCAAATAAAATGTATGAAAGATTTAACTGAAATGATTGATGTGGTGTTAGTGGCGGAAGAAAAAAAATTCCCTTGCCACAAATTGATCCTGGCTGCTTTTAGCCCCTATTTCAAAGCAATGTTTACTTGTGGGTTGATGGAAAGCACACAGAGAGAAGTTGTGCTACATGACATAGCAGCCGAAAGTGTATCTGTCCTCCTACACTACATGTACACCTCTGAGTTGCATCTCACTGATTGTAATGTGCAAAATGTGGCCATTGCTGCCTTTTTCATGCAGATGGAAGATGTGTTTAGCCAATGTCAGACCTACATGATGGATCATATTGAAGCTTCCAACGCTATAGGAATTTATTACTTTGCAAATCACATTGGGGCAGAAGAACTATCTGAACGAGCCAGGAAATATTTGTATCAGCACTTTACTGAGGTGAGCCAGCATGAAGAAATATTAGAGATAGAAGCTCAGCAACTGCTAAGCCTGATCAGGTCCGATGATCTGAACGTATCCAGAGAAGAGAGTATTTTGGACTTAGTCCTCAGATGGGTTAACCACAGTCAGAAGTTGCGTGTAGATCATCTCATTGAACTCCTGAAGCAAGTAAGGCTGGTACTTGTAAGTCCTTCATTCTTAGTGGAAGCTCGGAAAAGGAACACGGTGCTTCTGAGTAATTCCCAGTGTATTGACATGATTGAAGGAGCCTTAGAAACAATTAAAAAATCCAGTCAACCTTCTCTCAGCCTTCGATATGGCATGGAGACCACTACCCTTCTGCTTTGCATTGGCAATAACTCAGGGGGGATCCGATCAAGGCGGGGTAATTATGCTGAGGCCAGCTTCTGTTATGCACCTCTAACGCAAAAGACCTACTTCATTTCCTCTCCAAAATACGCAGAAGGCCTTGGCTGTATATACACTGGTGTGGTTACTGAGAACAACAGTATTGTTGTTGCAGGGGAGGCAAGTGCTGCCAAGATGTCCAGACAAAAGACCAGGATGATTGAACTTTATAGGTTTGTATCCTGGGGCATGAAGACACAAAATGTAACTGTATCATTCCCACCCCCAACACTTCAAATTACAAAGGGGCACATGGAAGGAAAGATTTAAGTGGTACTCCCCAAGAATTATTCAGTGCTGTGTGATCTAAAACTTTTCCTCTAAGCCTATGATATAACTTTTAACCTCCAAAGTTAACCACCTAATAATATCTTTCTTTGGCTTCTTTTCTAGATCAGTTGTTTTCGTAGTGCTGGAAGGCAATCTTAACTAAATGCAAAAAAGGTTTTGGACAATTCTAATTCTTTGTCCAACTTTATAAATGGTGTTTGCAAAGTTAACAGGCAATTGTCAAGGGGTGAAGTTCTTGTAGAATATTTTAAAAGATTGGATGGAACCCTGCAGGTTGTACTGTTGTTTTATAAACATTCCATTGGCTTCTGTAGTTGACTGAATATAACATATACACTATATATAAAATAGAAGTCTTTCAAGTAGAGTTACTTCAGGTTGTGAACTAAGCGATTAGGTGTTCGCCCATTCATTAATGACACAATGACTAGGTCTATAGTGCCCTCTAGGTGCCAAATATAATTCCATAAGCAACTTCTTTCCTTCTGGAGTTATTTTGTCCTTATTCAATCATGGGGACAATAAAAATGTACATTTTTAGTGCTTTTATTCTGGGCTGCCTTTGTTACTACTGAAGGAAAATGAAAAGTGTAGTCCTTGCCATAGATTCCACTGAAATTCAGGAAAATTGCTTTAAATACATTTGGTTAGGATTGATCTTCTAAGGATACACATATGCACTGCTAACTCAGGTTTTGCCTTTTTAATAAAAAATTGCAAGGGAAGAGGATAACAGATTTTCTAGCAGGAAATTTCCTTTCCTACTGATTTCATCCCAATCTCTTAATGATGGGTATGTCTGAACCTGTGCCTCAAGGTTCAATGCTTTTTTCGCAGGGGATCTTTAGCATAATTCAGCCCTTACTGTAGTGACATTAGATCTTGCTGGGTTAACCATGTGCTACCCTGACTGTTGCTGTCCTACTTAACTAACATATTTATTATTCACATGGAGAGAGGGGAGGGGGCAAACAGAATATTTTAAAGATGCTGATTGGGTGATGAATAGCTAGTGAAAGACATTTTTCCCTGAACTTCTAATATTCAGGCACCTCTCCTGACAATAATGACTGATCAAGGCTATAATGATTTGGGGGGGGGGGCAGTCATTTCCCCAAACTGAGTGGGTGGGTGGAGGGAGAGACAGGATAATATTTACAAAATTTGCCTCTGTGAAATCATAGCATTTTAAAAGGCTTACCAATTTATGCCATTGAACTTTTGTCAAAATTAAAATTCTCTTTTGACCCATGTTGATCCTATTTAAAAATAAAAGATGTACTTGAGGAGAAAAAGTTAGGTATAAATACGTGTATAAACTGTGACCAAGGAAATTCTAATATGAGGATTCATTACAGGTATGAGGGTCATGGAAATCGATTTTGGCAAAGCCTGTGCACAGCTCAGTTTCGTGAGCTATATGCTTTGGGCACCATCCATCATGACCTATTCATCATAGGAGGGCAAATGAAATTGAAAAACCAATACCACATTACCAATATTGTGGAGAAGTACTCCATGGAGCAGGAGAACTGGAGAACTTTGGCTCCCATCCCAGTGCCGCTGGCTTGCCATGCAGTGGTTGCCGTGAAAAACAGGCTGTATGTCATTGGAGGATGGACCCCACAGGTAAGGAACATTGCTAAGCGTTTCAGGACATGCATCGCTCTCTGACGCCATTGTCTGCTTGTTAAAGCAGCCTTCACAGTTGGAATGTAACTGCAATCATTGCCATTCAGAAAAATTACAAAAGCCACTGCTGATGGACATGCTTGCTTTCGGGCAGTGGGGCAATACTTCTTTTCTCTTGCCTTTTTAAAAAATTCTTTTGGCTTTGTGGTCTTAGTGCATATGCTGGATCAGTCTGTGTATTCAGTTAATCCAGTTACTGTCTGCTGTAATTGGTAGAGACTCTCCAGTGTCTCCTCAGACAGTCTTTGCCACTGGCTGCCTGAGACTTTTTAGGCTGAAGAATTCTGATTTGCTCAAGATTGAACAATTATGTATTCAGAAGGAAAATGAGATTTTAACTGGACTTTCCAGCTCATTCTCTTGACTAATGCAATACACCAATTTTCACTAGTGTATCAGTGTTCAGTTACTTTGGTTTGAAAGTCACTGAGGGAGGGGGGAGATATGTCGATGAACTATATATTCTACCACACCAATGCTATCTGTCAGTACTTGATGTGACCTTATTGATGGATAGGGAAAGATAATCTGCCCTTCATGGCAGACTTTGAGACTCATTTCAGAGAAAGCAAATTATAAATTATTCTGGTTTCTTCTAGAAAGGTGGCTTCTAGTGCTACTCACTGATTGCTATTCTGTAGTAAATTAGAAGTGGATTTACAATAGATTTTGCACTTTATTAAGAATACTGCTGTTTTTATGTGAGGCTTGCCAGACTGCTAAGCTATCTGTTTCCCAAGCATTTGTCACTTATATTGAAATAAATTTTGAATACTTCTGAGTTGCCTGTACCTTTTCCGATATATGCTGCTAGTCCTAACACCATAATCATGGGCATGTCTGTATTTTTGTGTGTCTAAAGCTGTCAGAAAACATCAAACAGTGTTTCACTGCAATTATGCAGTGTGAAGTAACAAAAATCTATTCATCCTTTTGCCACAAAAATAGAATAACTTACTAACTGCCCCCTCCCCCTCTTAATACATGTATTTTATTATTCAATATGCATTTTTTACATTTATCCAGTAATTGCAAAGAAAAAGAAAAGCCTTCTGAGAGACTGCTCTGTGGAAAGCAAGGGTGAGGGAAGATTGGTTTTTAAAAAATTAAATCAATGTCCTTGGATGTAGCAACTCTATAATGTCCATGGTGATATAGCAGGAGAACTATATAGAAAGGTCCTGAGTGGCTGCAATCATGGTTGTGGCAACGCAGCCAAAAAATCCTACAACCTCTATATGAAAGCCATTATGAGTGTCCACAAGCTTGGTATTATGTTACCCTTCCGTACAGAAGCCTTTCTGAGCGGTAGCGATGAGGGAGTTAAGGAAGAGCAATCAGCTGGAACACTCGCTGCTCACATTAAAACTGTCTTTCAGAAAGGATGAAACTTTGGCAATAGCAGCACCAACTGTATACCATTTTCTTCTGAAAAATACCCATACTTTTCTGCAGTTTAATTTTTCACAGGGAAAATCTAAAATATAATTACTGGATGATGAAGTGGTATTAGATGCCCTCTAAAAAGTAAGTGAGTACAGCTTGGCACTCCCTGACCAAATATATTGAACAGAAGTATCATTTCTATATTGTATTTTTACAGCTGGAAGTGAGCTCTGTTTGTATTTTCTGTCCTTAGATATGAAAATGTGTTGTGCAATTTCTGGATATGGCACTACTGTACATACGGAAGATCAGCAGGAAGCATTTTATTTAAACTTGTGAAAAACTAACGTGGATAGGATTGCAATTTGAGATTGGGTGTTCTGCTATGATGCATACTGATGCTTCTATCTCAAGAATTCAAAATACAAAAAAGTAAATTCAAATAACAAATTATATTTTGGGAAAAAGAACACTTCCTATCTTATTGTGGCATTAGCCTCTGATGCAAGAAAAGAAAAATCATATAGAAAAGTTAGGTCAACATAAAACTCATTTAATTCAGGAAAATAAAGCCTAGAGACTATTGGGCTATTTAGGTTGCATTTAGGCTATTTATGCACCTAACTTGGACTAATTCCATTTAATAAGATTTATTTCTGATTTAACAGGATTGGACTGCAGATGAGGCAATAAATTACAATAGTGATAGCTAAACAACTTTCAAAGAGCAAAAAAATTGCTTTAGGTTTGCTGACATATCAATACAAAAACTGCTGTATTGAGAAAATTTTGTGAGGTCTGTAAATATGTCTTCTTTGGCAAAGGTTAATGCAAGAAGCCTAGTTCTGGGTAGACTTTTTAGAAAATTTTAAGGCTTAAAAATCAGAACAGCTCATGGATTATGGAGTGTATGTTAGCTACCCTATTAAATCCATAGTACTGTATATTGTGGAAACCTGAGACAGAATGGGCCACAGCTAGCCCTTCCTTTGGGCAAAATGAGACAGTTGTCTCAGATAATAGGTGCTGAAGAAGGGACAAGATATTAGAGGAGAGGGTGTGTCACACACAGCCTGTGCTGCACTTCCCAGTTTAGATTTGGTCATTTTGTTATCTGCTTCAAGAGGCAAAATATATTAATCTAACTGTTGCTAGATCAAGTTCATATTCCTTTTTCCATGCTGAGGAAATTGTAGCTGGAAATGGCAGGAGCAATTGGAGCCACATATCTGCCAAAGTCCTGAAGGAAGGGCAGAAACAAGAAACTGAAATAGAGCAAGGTTGCCAAGGTTTAGCAGTTCCAGGCTAAATTGCAAGATTAGATTTGGAGGGGGGAAAAGTTAGAACCATCACATGAGGAATTTGGGAATGGGAAAGGTTGAGCCAAGCTGATAAGCTTTGCAGAAGGATTTGATGGACCTCTGCATGAAACAGGACGCAATGTGGTTGAATGATCTCATAGAGATCTTCTCATGTTCTTATGTATGAAAGCAGGGCAGGTCTTCTTAATACTGATCTTGTGTGAATCAGGAGGCTAACTGCAACTTCTCTCACAAAAATTGGAGACAATTCATTTAAAATGAACCTTTCAGTCTAGTGGATATAAATTGTGCCCCACAGAGCCTATTTGACAAATAATAAAGGCAATGGAAAGCATGAAGGCAGGCAAATTCCTATATAGTTTGCTGTAGCAGAACTGCAGATATCTGGAGATGTATTTAATACACACAAATATTGATCCACTTCCTGTTCTGTGTGAATTTTATTGTTTTATGTATTAAAGAGAAATAGTTTTGGAAAACATGGGAAAGGTGTTTAGGTATTATATTAGTCTTGACATTGGAATGTCTACATATACAAAGTGCCTAAAATTTACAAAATGCTGCATAAAGATTAGAAATAAGATAGTCCCTACTCATAGGGGATCTACAGTCTAAATGATACAATGGAAAATGAAAAGAGAATGAGGGGTGAAGAAGAAATTGAACAAATCAGTATATCAGTTTAATCCTTAGATGATATGATACCTTGCATAAAAGTACCAGCTCCTTAATCTCATAATTCCACAAAACTACATCTCAAGGGCCCTTTTATAGTTTCAGCCAATTAAAAAGCAAACACTTGCTATGGACTCAAGTGTAATATATGAGGTGAAATAGAAAAGAAGAAAACAGTGGCATTGTTGGTGCTTTAAAGACGATCTATTATTTCAAAGTAAGCATCCATCATTTTTATTATTTTAGAGCAGGCATTTTGTGGGTGAGCTTGTACATTCATATTAGTCCATTTTACCTCATTTGCAAAATGGGAAAGTTCCTTTGGAGCGGAGAATTTGTCAGATGAATGATAGTATCAGGCCTATTTATATATGGTACAGGTTGAACAAGCAGAAACAAACGCATAAGCAGTATTGCTTTCCCAACAATAGCACTCCAGATCCCTTCTTCAGGCATTTTGCACAGAATTTTAGTTTCTGCCTTCCACCATTCTGCCTGCAAGGGAGACTCTCTATATATTCTCTGAGACAAAGTGCAGTAACACTTACAAGCACTGACCATCTATGTTAAGTGTAAAGTTTTTCAAGTGTACGTTTTATAGGAAAGCTGTGTTAGTCTACACTTTATTAAAAGGCTGTAGCTTTCATGAGCATATGCCTTGTAATAAAATTTGTTAGTTGGAAAAGGTGCTATTAGACTCCTGATTTGTTGACAAGCTTAGGTTGAAAACTCTCTCTGTTCTGAATGGGACATGGTTCTGAAAATGTCCTTAAAATGAGGACCAAATTGCCCATTCTTTTTTTTACCTTAAAGTTTATATGCCATAAATATTTCATCTGAATATGCATCTCAGATGGTGAGAGTTGATTATTGGTTTATCTGCTGTCTTCCATTTAAGAGCTCAAGGTGGCATTTATAGCACCCCTTCCTCCCATTTCCCCCGCAGTAACAGCCCTGTGAGGTAGGTTGGCTGAAAGAGACTGATTGGCCCCAGCTTACCTTGTGGACTTCCATGGCTGGGAGTGGATTTGAATCTGGGCCTCCCCAGTGTAGTCAAACACCTTTACCACACTGGCTGTCATGATCACACCCTCATTACTCTAATGCAGCAAAAGCAGCTCTCAACTTGTAAGAATCCAGTTAAATTCGGTGTCACAGAATGATTTAAAGCAGCAAAAAAAATCCCTTATGGTAATTTTTCCAGAATGAAAAATGAGGGATGAGGAACTGATGGCCCACCAGCTACTGTTGAACTATAGTCACCATCAACTCCTATCACTAGCTATGCTGAGTGGAGTTGGAGGGCTACAGACTATGCATCCTGTTTTAGAGTTGCCAGTACCCTCTTTTGCTTAGTTGGCCATAGCTGGCTGCAAAGAATGACTACACTCAAAGCAGTTTATTGTATAGTGTAGTATATTGTATAGTAATCATTGCAGTAACATTTCAGGATATGCTAGAAACTTAAAATGGAGACCTCAGAGTCCACAAAACCATTTCTTCTGTTAACTACTGAAACAAATCAGGACTTGGCTATCCTAGGTGTCAGAATACTATTAAGCATTAGTGCCATTAAACAACAAGCTATTAACACCATTAAGTATTATTACCATTAAGTAATAACTACATGTCATTCATTCAGTTATCAAACTGATTGTTGGGACTACTGAACAATTCTGATTTAAAAAAAAGAAATTAAAAAATCTATTAGGCTTTGTTCATCTGTTTAGTTTTCTGGAGATTCATGGTTTAGCAGCAACATGTGGCTGCATGAACCCAACTCCATCCAATCTTGTCAACATTTTTATTGAAGAATCCAGACATGTTAGTTTTCTATATGTATGTAGTTTATAAATTATATTTCCACTGGTATCATCCTAGCATTTGACCAAAGAATCTATTTGTTTCAAAGAAGGTGGCAGAGCCAGAGGTTTGAAGGCTGCCAAAAATAAAAAGGAAAAAGGAAAAAAAAACAATAACCCACAGATGGTTGTAAAGGAATCAAATTTTCATTGTCTGTGTACTTCCTCCATTGATTAAAGGTAATTGTTCTCATGAAGCTGCAGATATATGCATATATAATTGCTGGTCTTATAGCCTGATTAACTAATCTGTGAGAGTACCTTTAAATTCATCAGCCCTTGGAAGGACACATAGTGAATATTTAAGGCACTTCTTAAGATAGCTTTTGTCAGTCTTATCATGCTACAACCTGTTTGGTATGCAAGGTGTCCCTAATGGGGAACAAACTTGGCCAGCTGATCATCTGTGTTATTTCCACTGACACATTGTAATCTGCAGCTAGGAGGCAGTGAGTGTAGCTAGGAGTCAGCATGTCCAAAGTGAAAAACAAAGTTTGGGAGATGCATGACTGTGTGAACTTTCTGTAGTAGAGATGTGGAATCTCATTTCTGGTGTTTGCAGAGCAATCAGAACTTGGGGCTGCTTGAAAAGATCTGCTGCTGGATTGCAGGTGGAAGTGTTGAAAGTCTTAGGGAAGTCTCCTGGAGTAGAAATTCATGTTTCCCTATGTGTGATAGAATTCAGCATTGTCCTGTGGTATGGCTTTTCCATGGTTCAGTTTAATTAGCTTTCATTCAGTCAAGGAGCCAGGAAGTCCCCGAAGGTTTTCTTTCATTCCCTAGAATCACTCTGTATCCTACGGTTTGTGTTCTACACAACCCTAAGTCTACCTTCCAAGAATTTAAGCCCTTTGGTTTCTTTGAGACTATCTTTGATCTTGTCTTTCCTTTTCAATAATTGGTGAGAACAGGCTTGCTGTCAGAGAACTGAAGATTAGACCAGAGGTTGCTTGGTCTCCTAGCACTATGCCCATTTTACTCTGGCTCTTATCCCACTAGGTTCCTCCTAACCCTTTTTCTTGAATTACTTTATTGCTTTGTGTAATAAGAAAAAGAAAGCTGTACTACCCATTGATCCCAAGTTTATTTCTAAATATTAACTGCAGCTCCTTCTTTGCATTTTGCTTCTCACACAGCTTCACATTCTCCATATGTTGTTAATAATGAGTTAGTGCTAATGGTGAGGCAGGGAGTCTAGAGAGTCACGCACAAATATTTAATCACATTTTAAAGTTTGGAGTATTTTTTTTAGTTATTTCTTCTTTATCCTCATCAAGTTCCTTGCCTTCTTCTCCAGTCATTTGATATTGAAGGAGGAGCTCCATTTAAAATTCTCTGCTTACAACTACTGTACCCAAACACTAGAAAATCTGAGAGATCTCCATGGATAACTGCAGTCACCAGCCCCTGAGCTTTGTCCATATATTTTCCATTCCATATACTTGCCCTGCTATTTCCATTACATCTCTTGCCAATCTTTATTTGGCCAATCTTAATTTGTTTGCCTCCATCTGTAACTTACTGGTCCATGTGGTAGAATAGCGAGCTAGCTGCTGATCTTTTTTCTAACAGGTATATGTACTAAAAAGAAAATATGTGTATTTTAAACTTGTGTATTGTTTTAGCTATTTTCCTTCCTGTTCCAGAGCCACTATTTCCCAGTTTGTTAAAATATAGTGAATAAACTCTGGAAAAGATCCCCTATTTCCTAACATCTATCTTGACACACATGCATATTACAGTTTGAATACACATATGAACGGAGATACATTCATAAAATCAGGTCTAATAATTGTTTTCCTCCCTTACCCTCCCCTCCCTGATGACAATATGTGAGAAAAAGAAATGGGGCATGGCGTGCTAAAGATAAGTTCAAAATCCTTTCAAAATTAAAAGAAGTGCAGATTTTAGTTTTTACAGTTATGTTATCTTATTTCACCTAAAGCATTCTTATATAAATCTTTAAACTCCCTCTGGAAGTTGTGGCCTAATCAAATAAGAAGCTAAATCAAAATTTGATCTCAAGGGGGAAGTAAGAGGTTTTTGACTTTCTTCTTGTGACTTCATGGCATCCTTGTAAAAAGAGCTATATGCTGTCAGAGCTGTGTCTATAGATGGTTTGTTATTACCCAAATTCTCAGCTTCCTTGCTGCAGAATATAAATGTGTCGTTATTCCTGTGTCTTCTGTAACGTACTTCTAAGCCACAAGTCATGGGTTCTGTGAAAGCCTAGTCAGTATGAATCACTTCGCAGCTATAATTGATGTGTTTATGTTATTTATCTGCTCAGCTGTCCTCTGTGATTAATAGCATGCAAGTGTGTGTAGAGGGCTCCAAATGTTGTATTATTATATGGCTGTCATATTTCACACAGATGGATCTTCCTGATGATGAGCCTGATCGATTAAGCAACAGAACGTTGCAGTATAACCCAAGCCAAGACAAATGGACAGAGTGTGCACCGATGAAGTATTCGAAATACCGCTTCAGCACAGCTGTAGTAAACCATGAGATTTATGTCCTGGGTAAGAGCAAACAGATTTTTAACAGATAGAGGGACCACTTTTTATTTTTTCCTAGCAATTTGCTTCTATGAAATGAAAGATTTCATTCCCCTACCACTCTCTTTCTTGTAAGTTAAAGAAAAGGGGCAGAGAGAATATATATAAGAAGTGTTGCTTTGCCAATGAACTAAGGATGAGCAAACTTTATTTTTGCTAGTAAAGAAAACCATATTAAAGAACTGGCAGAGTAACAACAGTTATCTCCATTTTATGCACTTACTGTATTAAGCTTTTCCTTAATTTGATGTATTTCCTGCCTCACTCTGAAAACTGTATACTTTCTCACCAATCAGGGGGCATAATTTGGTCCTGCTACTTTTTATTTTAAGACAACAACAATGTAACCACTCCAACCCATGTTTTTGATTAGTATGCTGGTTGGAAATTTCTGGGAATTGCAGAATATCTGGAGGGTGAAGGTGCCATGTTGGGAATAGCCTGCAATAGTACATTAAAAATCTCTCTGCAGATTAAATTATTGTTATGACCGAATGGGATGTCAGCATAGGTATGTCATTCTGGGTCAATTTACGTACGTAAAAATACTAGGTAAAATAGTGATATAAAGCTCAGCCACCACAGGCTTCCAGTACAAAGTATAAACACAGAAACATGGAAGAAATGTGCATTGCAACGTCCCAGCATGAATCCAGGCCTTTCATATTTGTGTCCCAAGGTTGAACACAAGTGTATGAATGAGATGGCTTACATTATGACATCACATGTTTTGTCATTTTTTCCTCAGTCCCTATGGCAGGAAAATCCTGAAAAAATTTAGTCTCACCTTTATATGTTGGTGGAATTGCCACAAGGAAATTAATTACCTTTATTAATGTGTGTGGATTCATTAAATTATCTCAAACCTGCTCACTATGGCATTTTCAGCATCTTAGTCTCAATGCTTCAGACTTTTCAATTCAGTATGATTGCCCCACGAGAATGAAGCTTAGGCTACTTGAGTACATGAAAACATTATCTAGGACCTTTACTGTATATTTGCTCAGATTTTCTACTTTGATCACTATCCCACCTGAATCTTTGTGATGCTAGGAAACAACTTCCTCCATACAAAGATTCCCACAGAGTTTCTCCTCCTTAAAGATACAGGAGAAGGACATAGAAATAATCTCTGCATATGAAAAAGCAATGGAGGAGGATAAACAGGGGAGGGAAAGAATAATTGACAGCCCTGCTCAATAAATTATTATTTAATCCATTAACCAGTCATGAACTCAGAAGGGCAGTAAAGGCCTATGCCAGACCTTTGAATTGGACAGATGTATGGGATTTGGCACAAGCTAACTGCTTGAGGTATTATTTCTATTTGTTTGGATTCCAGTAAGAAAAAGCTTTTTTCTGCTTGGAAGGTCCTGCTGTTGCAGTCATTCCGGGGGTGTTGGCGGAGAGAGGTAAAAAAAGTGGAGGACTTTGATTGCGTGATCACAGCCACCATCCTGACTTTTTTTTTTACACTCACACACCATGGGCACCCCTGAGGTGTTCTAGCAAAAGAGAAAAAGAATGGGTTTTCTTTCATTTTGATTTGGAATTGAAGGATATAGACTAATGGGATTTAACTATGGAGGGTAAACACTGGGTATTGGTGGGTTTTTAATTCTAAACTAAATTATTGAGGGAACTATGAGACAGTTTATGACCCAAAAAGAGAAATGCAGGGAATTGAAGGAGAAAAAACCCTGCAAGCTATTTTCAAAGCCCTTGTTTTTCATGTTGATATATGTTTATGTGTATATAACAAGTGAAGTAAGTGAGGTAAGATTTACTAAATGTGTTAAGCTGGATCTAGGAAGAGATATTTTAGTCTATTTATGACAAGAGGAAAAATAGTTTCCAGGTCAAAAAGCCTAGAATTTCTATCCTAAAGAAAGGCCTGGGATAACAACAGTAACTGCAGAATAACGCCTGCTTAGCATGACCTAGAGGGGGATGCGGTGGCGCAGCGGCTTAATGACGCTGAAAGTTGCCGGCCAGAAATGGTCGACGCTTCAGCGGTTCGAGTCCAGCCTTCGCGTTAGCAGGGTGAGCTCCTGTTTCTTCCCCAGTTCCTGTAAACCCAACAGTTCGAAAACTCATGTGAGTAGATAAATGGGTACTCTCACTCTGGTGGGAGGAAAAATGCTGGCGGCGCCTTGAAAAAAAAAAAAAAGGAGTCGGGAGCAGTTGCCGGTAAGCGCGAAAAC